TTTTGTAATAAAAAAATCTTTGCAAGAAAACAACCAAGCTCAGAGAACCCCAAGGACTCCACGGTTGTAAAATCGGGTGTGACTCACTTAATGACTGCATCACTTAGGAACAGAAGTTCTGGTCCCAATTGTGGTCATAAGTCAAGGACTACCTGTAATAAAGAATAGTCAGATATACTTTATACTAGTAAAGAAGAGGAATGTTGTTAGTCAGAGGATTTATGAAGCCAATTCAAATATTTAATTCAACTTAATAACTTTTTTCTAAGAACTGCATAACTAGTTCTACATGTCCCAGATGGAAACAAAAGGCACCCCTTTCCCATGCTACACGGCAGATCTTTTGAAGCTCAAGAAAATTCAAAATACATTTAGATATGGAAATGGAGAATGGGGTCTGCTGTTAAAGAAATAGCAAGCTGCATATCCAAGCTTTGGGATGCTTCTAGAATGGCTCCTTGGATTTCAGCCAATGAAAGTTCATAATCAAAGTGAGAGCTGATGTAATTCAATTCCCTTTAGGCAACATAACTAAACTTGTTGCTATCAAGCTTATTTCTGGCCAAAAGTTAATTTTCTACAGAAATACAGGTTATGTTTAATAATACTTAGTCTTACTACAATTCAAGTATTAAATTAATGCGTTTTTCTCTGTATACATATTTAAAATAATAAAGTTATCTTATGTCTTTTTGTTCATGTTCTGAATTACTTTCTTACAGAAATTACTATGAATTTTGTATTAAATTGTACAAAATCAGAAATTCTGTAATAGCAAGGCCGATCATTGTTAAGTTGTCTTGATTTGTTTAGCATCCTACCTGAGATAATCCAAATACTAGAAAAATTAACCAATTATGTTCCTCAAGTATTTTGCTTCTTTAATGCAGTATTAATGTAAGGAGTTGCTTTTTATAGAAGATGATACACGACAAATCTTATCTGATCAAATTGTTTGGGTCAGTACAAACTTGCATTTAGATCTGAGAGCTTTGTGTTAGTATGTCTATTATGCTATTTGGTTTACACATATTTTGTAAAAAACATAACTCAGACTGATTATAGTGATCTTGGCTAATCCTGAAGAAAACTAAACAGTACTGGGTTTGGTTAGTACTTGGATGGGACACTAACATTTTCAGAAGTGCTTTTCCCTTGCCTTCTTCCTATGGCTGAGAGAGAGTGACTGGCCCAAGGTCACTCAGCTGGCTTTATGCCTAAAACAGGAGTGGAACTCACAGTCTCCCAATTTCTAGCCTGGTGTCTTAACCACTAAACCAAATGCTCTCTCTCAGGGAAGTCTTTACCTACCATAAATTTATTTGAAGAGTATCACTGGAGTTATATATGCAATTCACATTAATCATTACTTTGGCATCAATTATTACTTTACTCATTTAAATATGCAACATTTCTTATACTATTTCTTGTTATTGTAACATTGTTACATATCAGTGTTCTGTATCTTTTTGATTTTTCAGAAGCGAATATACATCAAGATAGCCCCTGTGGCATCAATTTCTTTGGGATGAATTAAATGTGACTTTAATTTCATGAACACAATTAATCTGATATAGATCAGCAGCTACTACAGAAAGGCCAGAGCAGAATCAGAATGGATATTTCCTTCCTGGGGCTGTTTTTTTTTTTTTTCCATACAATGTATATTTAGTTTTGCTTTTTGTAGTGCATATATACTAAATATATTGCAATATCTAAAAGCTCTTTTTTATTAGTCTAATGAACAAGCATAATCAAATAGTTTCACTTCTCAGTTTGTGTATTCACCAGGTGAAGCTTTGCTCCTTGTCATTTGATATTTTTAACATAGAATGGTGTAAATAAAGAAACTTGAGAAATTTTAAAAACTTATTTATCTATCAAATTTATATAGCTGCCCATCTCATGAATGTGACTCTGGATAGCATAACATAAAAACAAAACAATAAAAACATGAACATTTTACAGTGGAACAATATCTTTCATAATATTGTCACAGCTCCTATACTGAGTTCAGTCAAAACTAGATATCAACTAAAGACAGTACAAACCAACTTTCTAAGAAAGTTATATCAAGTAGTAAAATGTGTTCCCAAAACTCTTTCTGGGCAGGGCTCATAAAAATGGAAGGGCATGATTACATAAGTTGAAATATTGACTAAATGTTAATTTTCAGCCTCAAGGTCTGGGACATTTCCTTCTAACAGATAAATATTATTTTTCCTGGAAACAGCAAATAGAAAAATGACAAAAATTAGGATTTTCATCTGAGGTTATGTTAGTTCTCAGACATAGGATTATTGATGTAGAATTACAAACTGAACATAGTATGAGTACAACTGGATTATAGCTCATTTTATTTTAAAGGACCAATCTACCTTGATTAACTTACAAGTAATACATTTCATAGGGCTTTTATACTATTGTGATTGGATACCTTGCTGTCAGCTGTGCTGGAGGGTAAATTTTTCTCTTATGCAGAAAGGCTTTGCCCTTGTGAGGACAAGAGTATTGAATTACAGTCTCATGTTTTAGTTCAGCGTAATTTTAGCAAGATATTCGTAATGAGCTACTAATACCTCATTTTAATTCATTTCCTGCACAGACAGAATATTTTTTTGGTACGGCTTCTTCCAGCTGATAAAGATGCTCAATAATTCTTCCTATTGCTCAGGTTGTAACTAGATTGTCGAATTTATGCTTTGCTAATAGTAAAGTAGACTAAGTGCAATCACATAAATAGTTAGCTCAGCTTTTAACACTTCTGATTTTTGTTTAATTTCATTTAGGTTACTTTTTGACCTTTTTGGAACCAGTAAATAATATCACCATCGTCCAGGGCCAGACAGCAATTCTGCACTGCAAAGTAGCAGGAAATCCATTACCAAATGTTAGATGGTTAAAAAATGATGCACCAGTGGTTCAAGAGCCAAGAAGGATCATTATAAGAAAAACAGACTATGGCTCACGATTACGAATTCAAGATCTTGACACAACTGATACTGGTTATTATCAATGTGTGGCCACAAATGGGATGAAGACAATAACTGCAACAGGAGTTCTTTTTGTAAGACTAGGTGAGTCACTTTATTTTAAAATGTGAGTTTTATAACTAGCTTTATCGCTTTATAGACTAGCTGTTAGTTTTCACAATGACAAAGTGAAAAATTAATTTACTGTTTTGTTTTCTTTAGAAATTGAATTGTAACATGAAAGAAAATCAATAAAGTCTTTGCCTGGGGCTTCCTTTTCAGCACATTATGTCAGTGCTGAACTTGATACTATAAATTAGTAATAAAGTAGATACAGATGGAATGGTTTGCAAATATGAAGTTTAGAGAACAGCAGAAATGTGAAAGATGATTTAGTCTAAGGTACAGAGAAATAGTCTTTCATTACTTCATATTTCGTAGAATTATTTGAAATCATTATGTTTTTGTGCCAAGGCCAATAAGTAGCAGTTCCTATCTAGTACTTAAAACTTTGATCCCTTGGTGTATATGACACCTAGAAGCTAAGTACCTTAAAAAAACTAAGTAATTCACTCTTGGACAGAATTGTAGGGTCCATGGACCATATTCAGCCACAATGCTCTTTCATCAGACCCAGTGATGGGCATGAGAGCTGCATCCAATAAAGTGCTAGTTTAATCCTTTACATCTAAAATAATCAGAAAGACCTCATTTTGAGTTTGTCAGTCAGATAGCTGCTGATTAGCTGCTCTCAGTCAGAATAGATAGTCTGAACAGAGAACTGGATTAAGGCAATTTTTGAATTGGATTATACCAATTTGTCTGTTCTGCAGAAGCTCATAGATAGTTTTCCTTGTCTAGCGGATTCTGCCTCTTTCTGGACAAAGCAGCATGCAGGAGGTCTGTCATTACTTAGTTCCCTTCTGAGTCCTTTAAGTTGGTCATCCCTTTACTCTCTCCTGCATGTTAGAGAGTTCTTCAAAGATTTAATATGCATGCATAAGGAGATTGGGGAAAGTGGGTTGTGTTCTGCCGGAGATATTTATTCAATTAATACGCATTGTTTCCAATCCTATGGGTCTAGGAATAGTTTTCACAGTAAGAATGTGTCTAAATATATGCAGTCCTTTAGCTGACAGTAGTTTGAGAAGCATTTTGCCAATAGTTTGATAGACATTGGGCTGTGCTGGTTGGGAGATGACGGAAGAGCTATCCAAAAGTTTGTATGGCGAAATGTTGGGTAGTGTTCATTATGGTAATCCTGAAACCTTCTTGCTCATTATACACATTTGTAGGGACCTTTATAAGTTGTGTGCTTTGATCCACAATTCTCTGCATTCATTACATAGAACTTAACTGTATTTGCAAAGAAAATTACATTCAAATTGAATTTTCCTATTGAAATGAATAAAAAATGTCTTATAGATGAATACATACAGATACATATACACGCAGCCTCCAGCACTATATTGGCCTCTTAATCAAAGTAATAATGTAAAAATTTTATATTGTATATAGAATAACTAATTAATGATTAATTTTGAATTTCTGGGTATTACATGTGAATAATGGTGTGCATTCTACATAAATATTATAATAATAACTGCTGTTTAGATAATGTGTTAAATCACAAGACTTTGTATTTTAGCAAAAGCCACACTATAAGTAGGATACTATAAAGATTAATATACTTTGTCACTTGACAAAACTTTGTTTAGATATTTGTTTCAGCACACAGTAGGTTTATGTTTGTAGAAATACAGTAAGGACATGCAATAATAATAATGCAGCTTACCAGGTGGTACCACTTGGTCTATCTTGCCTGAGCTTGAAAGTTAAGAAAGGTTAGACCATACTTAGTAGTCAGTTAGAGACCTCTAGGGAATATCAATGCTGTGGGCTAAATTGGAAAGCTGAAAAACAATTCCCAGAGAAGGAATATGGCAGTAGCAAACTACTTCCATACTTTTGTCAAAAGCCTGCATGATTATGTTCAAGGAGTTAGTAGGAACTGGTTTCTTTAATTATTATTTATTTATTCACAGGTCCAACACACAGTCCAAATCATAATTTTCAGTAAGTATTGCTTGAGACTTACTTATTATTTAACCTATTTATTTATTTGTTGTTTGTTTGCTCATTGCAACTGAAAGATTTTGATAGAAAATACTGAATATTAGAACCAGTAATACTTTCTTATGTTTGTTTTTCTCATATAAATAGAGGCTATTTTGGAAGAGCAGTTCAGTATAAGTTGATGATAGCATTTTGTGTGGTCATCATATCCAAACCAGATTTACCAGAGAATGGCCTTCAGTCACTGTAGTTTTAATTTTCACCAGATTTAGTCTACAATAACTCTGAAATCTTGAAAGTCAAAATTTGAAATGATTGATTATATTCCAAGGTCTTGGGTTTTTTATTTTTGTTGTATTTTTAGCTTTAATCTGATGTGTTGGCTATAATTGTATCTGAATTTTATACTGGCTGGGAATTAATATGGACGTCCTGTACAGCTATGTCATTTATATGATTTATTTAAAGTCTTACTTAAAAGTAAAACTGCATATTTGTGAAGTGCAGAAATAATATTTGGGGATGTAAGCATGATCTTACTGACAAAATTGTTTTTAGGACACAGAATATTGATATAATGGAGTGAGACCAACAGTTGTCTGGAGGCACACACGGGCAAGACATAATATACAGATAGTCATCTAAGAGTGCAATTTACTGCATTCAGATATCATATCTTGCTTCATAGTGGGTATAGGACTTGAATACACACACACGTGTCCTTTTTCAGCAGAGCTATTAAGTAGTTTAAATTATTTCACTTTTGATTCACTGCAGTTGAGTGTTTTGTTCCAAACTTAAATTACTACTAATCCTAACAAGACAGTTTCATTAATTCATCATAGTTAAGATTAAGCAGTTTGTCAAGTTCATACAAAACAAATTGTGATGAATCCTAACTGTAACAAAAGCTTCTTTTCCAGAAAAGAGAAGACCTAGTAACAGAAATGTTATGAATGGAACTCAACTCATGAGATGGCCCTGTTGCCAGATAAAGAAAGAACACTTGTGTAGTTTAAACTTCCTTACCCTCTTTTTGTATACTAAGGTGCAATGCTATGGCAGACTTCCACAAACTGCAAACTGTCCTGGAAGGTGGATTTCACCTCCCAGAATTATGCACAATGACATATTGGCTGGGGAATTTTAAGAATTGAAGTCCAAACTTCTGAACTTCAGAAGGTTACTCAGATTAGGAAAAGATACGCTAGGGACTGCAGAGAAAACCACATATTAGGAAAAAAATTCCCTGTAAGCCCCTTGGATGAAAGGAAGTGCCCTTTCCACTTCCAGGATCCAAGCCAGTAAATCATATTATGCTAATAAAAGAAATCACACTGAGCATTTCAACTGTACATGAGTTGCTCCAAATAATTTGGGGGGTGTTTGGACCTGGCCTTGCAGGAGCAATGGAAATATACTTTGAAGCTGATGTGTAGTGATATTTTATAACAAAATTGTTGTAAATATTCCTAAACACATTTTAAAGAGTAAGCATGTATTTCTGGTTTATTAAACTTTAATTGAATTAGATCGCCCCAAAAATAAAAGTTCCAGAACAGCAAAGAGACTTTAAGGAGTGCAGTGTGGGTGGGGAACAAGAGAGGCTGAACTTGGAACTATTATTTTTACAATGCATTAATAACCCATCTTTAACTGCAAAGTATGCAGCAAACTCTCTTTCCTTATCATTTCATTAATTTGTTGTTCCTGTTTTTAAAATGGGGGATGGTAGTTAGTTAAAGAGTAATTAGGCTATGACCAGGCACTTCTTTCCATATATAATAGCTCATATGAGCAATTTTTTTCAGTGAGTAGAATAATATGACAACAAAATAACAATCTCCATTTTTTTCCAATTCATGAATGAGAGTAGGGCATAGTGATTTCATTACTCCAGCAAGAACAATTACTAGTAGAAGTGAGCATTCAGTTGATATAAGAAATTAGCCTTGTATCTCAAGTACCAGTCCTAGCAGAAAACAAGCAGGTAAAGGACAAATTGCTTTCCTATGGATGCTATTGTCATGCCCTGGAAAAAGCAGTTTAAGATTATCTTAGCTGACTATACTCAGCACTTTGAGAAACCATGTGAAAATATCTGTGGTGATTGTAGTAAGAACAGCAATGAATCATTTAACTGCTACTAAACTCCATTGTATCCTCTTTCTTTGTTATTTCTTGAGATTATTATGATAATATCATGGAGGGCGCTCTTAAGTATTTAATTAAGAGAATAATTTTCTTGCATGTTTCATTGTAAAATAATGGCCAAATATTTGCCTTTTTTATGCTTTAGTCTAGATATTTGGAGAGAACTTGAGGGATACTCATGGCCAGAATGGTACCATCCAGGTACAAGAAATGTGAGGAACTTCAAGATTTGAAAAAAGTCCAAAAATATGGAAAAACACAAACAGCCATAAAATTGAGCATGTTAATCAGTCATGGGAGGAGAATAGAAAAAAACTGCAGAATTTCTATAGTGATTATATTTTCTTTAAGTTAATTTTTTAATGAACCAATTTCTGTTTATGCATACCTCTTTCACTTTAAATGCTCTCTTTCCAAATGTATTTACCTTAATGATCACAATTTTTGCACAGCCTATTCCAAATACCCTGTTATGTGATATCAGTTACATTTCCAAGTAGAAATTAGCTCAACATTGATCCATAGTTTAATCTATCTTTGTAAGAAATCAAAATCTACAACCATATTTGTTTTCCATTACTGTCATGCTGTCATCATGGATTTCCACAATAGACTGGTTGTATGTCTTCAGCAAATTCAGTGACCAGAAATAGCATTTTTTTCAATAATGGAATAATTTTATCGTATTTTTTAGGCTAATAGCAGCTGCGGCTGCTTTTTTTTTTTTAATGATTTGCTATTCCTTGATAGCAAAAAAAGTACTAAAAGTAGTGCATTTGATGTGGATGCTTCACAGAAGATCTGAAATTTGTTGCATTATGTTACTGTTTTCAAAACCTAATGGTTTTAATTAAGTCTTACTACTATGAAAAGACATTAAGGCATTTTCATGTACTATAGGAAAAGCAACATTCCAGAGATGGGAGTTAGACTAGGAAGAATAAAGAACTATCCAAAAAATTAAATGCCATGCCAAAGGAGATGAGTAACATGTGCAATGTTTGGATGTTCTTCAAGTTAATGCAGGGCGAATTCATAAGACTGTATCTATGCCAGTTTGGGCAAAAGATTATGTGAAGAAATATTATAGTATGCCTTGTATCCAACTGCAGTGCACAGCGTCCCACACTCAGTGTTTCAGATGGCCCAATTGAGTTAAGGACTTTCACAGGAATGAAGTTTGCATTATAAAATATTATCACAACCCCAAAAATTGTTAAATCAACAGGAATCATAACTAGAATTTCATTGCAACATAGAGCAATCAAGCACTTCCTTTGCTTTGTACGTGCAAATTTTCTTACAAATATATTATGGGGATAGTTATTAGAAAACTCCCCAAGATTGAAAAATTAGGTTTTTATGAAGAAATTATACAAGCTTTGATTTTAGTGCATATCCTTCATAATTTGTGTTACTTACCTCTAAGCAGTAGTAATAATAATTTTATACTTTAAGACACTCTTGTTTGTTAAACAACCTAGCTATACAAACAAGGATTTGTAATTGATTTCTGTACCAACTCTAGTTTCCTTTCAATCACCATCATGATTCATAACTAACAATGAGCCAGGAATAATAAAAACTGAAACTAAATCCTGGTTAAGCCTTCCTTCCAACCCTGTTGGAAGAAGAATAGGGGAGCATATGAGCCTGAGGCATTGTTTAGATTCACAGAGGCTGATCCACACTGTGCTAAATCAAGGCTTAGTTGGGTATTGCCTTTCTTGCATATAAGGCTGTTTGCCTTCTTTGTTCTTTCTGAAGTTGATTCCTCTTGCAAATTATGTTCTGCAGATACAGTTGTAAACTGAGATTGGAGAGATTCAGAGAAAGAGCGTACAGCTTTCCAGTGACTTCCCTGCTTCTTAAATCTACCAAGAAAAATGAAGGCTTGTGTTAGAATGGGGAGCAAGAAGTAGCAGCAGGAAGCATTTCCTTACAAATATAATACAGAAGAGAAGGATACTAGGAAGAGCTATGCTAGTAATGTTTGTCAGTAGAACTTGTCTAAGCTTGTTGGCTCTAACAAGACTGACCAGAAATGAGGAACAGAAGCAGCTTTATTTGCCTGCAGTGATGTTTGTTTGTTTGTTTAATATGGCTACTCATCTCATATACATGACTCTTGGCAACTAGCAATTAAAAGAAAATTAAAACAGGATAAAACAACCACAATTTTAAAAAACAACAACATCAGTAACATAGAATAGCTGCTGAGAACATTCACAATGTCCCACATTCAAATCAGCCGTAAAATGGGCTGATACACCCATACTGCCAGGGCCCCAGCTAGATGGCAAAGCCAGGTTTTAATGCCTTGCAAAAGGCCAGCAGGGTCAGGGTGAGCCTAATCTCAGGGGGATAATATTCCAGAGGGCGGGCACCATGGCAGAAGATGCTCTCCTCGTGGCTCCCGCCAGATGGAACTCTCTAGTGGATGGGACTGGGAGCATGCCTCTTCTGCCAGATTTAACAGGATGGGTAGACACCACTAGGGAAAGACAGTCCCCTAAGTAACTTGGCCCCAAGCCCTGAAAGGCTTTAAAGGTAACCACCAGCACTTTGAATTGCATCCAGAAGCATACTGGTAGCCAATGCAACTTGTGGACCAGAGGCGTCACGTGTGCCAAACAACCGGCACAAATAATTGACTGCACCGCTGCATTTTTCACCAGCTGAAGCTTCCAAATACTCTTCAAGGGCAGCTGCATGTAGAGTATGTTGCAGTAATCCAATCAGGAGGTCACTAGGACATAAGTGACCGGGAGCAGGGCCTCCTGGTCCAGGAATGGGCACAAAGCTGTGCAAATGCCCTCCCAGCCATGGCTGCCACCTGCTCCGTA